AAAGATTTTGGATAGAGTAGAGGCCATGATTATCTGCCCTGCCAGTGCGTCCTAACTTGGTTTGGGCCAAGTGATCCCCCCAGAGAGGCAGGCCCGCCCCGCCCCTCCTTGCCTTCCACACAAGACTGCTTACCCTTCCATCAAGCCCGCAGGGAAGGCGCCGCCTGGAAAGACAGTCCTGCGCTAGGGCAGGCCATCCTTTGCCTGGGGGTCCGGGAAATCTCCGGGGCTTCTGCTTGTTTCCGTCTTGCCACAAGTGCTGAGAGCAGGCTGGACGTGCTGAACTCCGACTCTATTTGTGCATGTGGGTTCATCTCACAGCCACTGCCTCCCAGGAGCGGGTCAAAGGAGTGCGTGCGGAGGAAACATGAGGACCAGCAGGCATCAGCATCCAGGGGTGGAATGAGCACAGACTAGTCTGGGAACCCACCTGGAGGGTACATGGGACGGAACCACAAAATGCAATACAGACTTCCTGCCGGAAGCCGCTCCTAACAGGAACCGGGGAGACTGAAACCACAGCTGTCTGTGGGCAGCAGGCTTCCCCTCCCAATGCAGAGGGAGTGGCCTTGCCGCTGGGAGACTCCTCAGTCCCCCTGAGGCATGAGGACACACCCATCACCAGGTTCTATGTGGAAGCTTGATCCAAGAGAACAGGGACTTTTCTTCGAGAGCACCACACCCTCCATGAGCTCTGGGCGGGCCTGGTGGGTGCTTCAGCTCCCAGGCTGTCCCAGTTATCCTGTGTGTCCAGCCTCAGCACTGAAGCCTCTGCCCAGGACATGGTACCCACCAGACAGTGAGACACACAGCGGCTGGCCTGCCTGCCGGGCAGCTTCCAGGACGCCTGCTTCAAGGTGAGCTAATCAGAATACGGTGCCAGACAACAGCTTTCCACATGCAGCGTGAAGGTTATTAGCTCTGTTTCTTCCAGAGTAGAGAGTACGTGTCAGAGAACTTACACACACACACACACACACACACACACAGCCACCCCCACATACATTACACACACGTACACACCACACACTACACATAGACCACACACAGGCCACAGATACATAGACCACACTCTACACACAGCCTGGCTCTCCGTGGCCACTGCCCCTCCCAGGTTGTGTTCCTGGATGGATGGTGCTCGCTCCACGGGTCCCCCTGTGCCGATGTGGCAGAGAGAGGCCCTGGTGCCTCCTTAGTGTCTAGTGGAGGAAGGCAGGGAAACAGAGAGGACCCCATGGACGTATTGAGGGATCTCAGTGCCTTGGCCTCCCTCTCCCTTGGCAGGCCCGGCCTGCCCTTCAGGTGCATGGGTGTTGGAGTGGGACCTGCCATGGGGCAGAGGAGAGGTGTAGCACCTGGAGAGCGTGAGGAGCCTCCATACGTCTTCTTGGGGAAGAAGCTTCTAGCAGGAGTTGTTGTGGGGACAGCCCTGGGGCTGGAAGGAAGGCTGGTTCCCAGCAGGAAAGGTGCTTGGAGCCAGTCTCAAGGTCTGGCCACATTCCTCAGTGTCTCTTTCCTGGCTGGTTGTGGCTTGACCCCACAAAGCTGACCATTTGGCTGCCTCTGGACCAAAACCAGACACGATATTCATCATGTGTACCTGTTCTGGTGTGGCATTCTTCAGTGCAGGTGTTTGAAGGGCAGAGAATTTGAGTCCTGAAAATGCTTGACTGCTTTGAAGTGGAAGAGGAATCAACGTCATAAAAGTTGGAATGAAGAGGGTATCTGGAACGTACTAAGTGCTCAGCAAACATTTGGTGAAGGCCCGGTGGAGAGTGCTTCATCGGAAGAGATGAAAAGGATGTTGCCCTGTTTGCAGCATACAACCACCCCGAGAGGCTCTGCACACGCCCACGGACGACACGAGGTGGACGGTTTCACAAGTAGAAGAGGCCATCTTCATGGGGCTGACAGAGCCTCCTCTGCCCCTGCAGTCTTGGCAGCTGTGTGGACCCCTCCAGGGCCTTCACTTCCACTCTGAACATGGAGGCTGCTTCTGTAGAAAGGTTTGGGGGCATTAATTAGAAAAGGATTTGGAGGTCCAGGCAGGGAAGGAATTCCTGCACAAACCAGGAGAACTGGCCTCATAGATTAACCCACCTGAAACCAGAGAGGAAAGAAAACAAGTTTTCTCTTCCATTCTACAAGAACAGAAGGGAGACTTTTCAGCTCCTTTCAGTGGAAGGACATTTATGTTGAAATATTTTCGGAAGCTCTGGGATGTGTCTAAAGGAGAAAATCTGCTGCGAACCCATCATCTGATTTTGTGAGTGGAGGTAGGCCTTTGTCTTGGCTGAAATAGAGACACTTCAGTTTGAAGTCCAGAGGATGGAGGGGTTTGGGGCTACAGCAAGCTGTTGCAGAGAACAAATGGGCCTCTTCCAATGCACACATCTTCCTGTTCATCCAGCATACCTGGGCTGCAGATTTGGATCAGAATTGGCAGAACTCCATCCACCTGGGAAAGGCTACACCTTTTCTTGGGTTTGGAGCCTGTTTCTAGAAGGTGCCAATGCCAAACTGTGTCAGGCTGAAGCTTGGCTGAGCCCTCTTCCTGTTCTCTTAAATGGGACCAACCAATATGCTGTGGTACTGAAGTCTGAAAATCTGGAACAGGTGAAAAATCTGGGTGAGATTTTTTTCTTTTTAAGATCGAACACTTCCCAAAATCAAACTGCTGAACTTGGTAGATAAAATGTGAATACAGAGGTTTCTAACTGAAGGAATAAATGACTTCCGAGTGGCATTTAGAAACATAGGAAGAGAGGGAGGAGACTGGATGTCTTTAGATCAGCCATGGATCTCTCTCCTGCCCTGGAGCAGCCGCCATAATTCCTTCCATCTCTGGCAGCAGTGGTACCCGAGTTCTCATTAGCTTGCTGCAGGCAACTTGTTACCCCACTAGGGCTATAATGGCATCTTATCCCCACGTCTCGGAGAGCTCAGTCTAGAGTGGTTCTACGGTGCCAGTTACCCTCTTAGTGGGTGCAGGGGTCAAGGTGATCATTAAATGACGAGGACCCCCTGCCCTTTCTGATGCAGAGGATTCTCTGCTTGTCTTTCCTGATTGGTACTTGCTTGTGGATGGGTGGTTTCTACGTAGTTAGAGCCAATGCATTCCCTTTTTGAAGTTTATACAAGCCTTGGGAGGATATGCAAGGGGGACCATCTGTAAGTGACTGAGCTTGGCTACTTGACAAAACAGCCAGTCTTCTGTCTGTTGCTTCATAATCTAAATAGCTTTCAAATAATCCCAGTTCTCTTCAGCCCCACTACGCTGCCTTAGTTCATGCTCAAACTTTTAAATAAAGCTTTATTATGACTTTTTTTGGTTACAAGTAACAGAAATGAAACCTCGGACTTAACAAACAAAATAAGACTTTCCTTCCAACCTGGTGAAATGCAGAGGAAGCTGGGCTTCAGAAATGGGTCAGAGCCTGGACAGCCTGCAATCATGATCTCTCTCTTTTGTTTCTCCTGCATTGTTTGCCTCATTTCTTTTTCTTTTTCTTTCTTTTCCTTTTTCTTTTTTTTTTAATGTTTATTCTTTTTTTCTTTTTTGAGAGAGAGAGAGAGAGAGCACAAGGTGGGCGGGGGGGGGGTGCAGCGAGAGAGGGGACACAGAATCCGAAGCGGGCTCCAACCTCATTTGTTTTTCTAACTTTAATTTAAGTATAGTTAACATACAGTGTAATATTAGTTTTTGGTGTACAATATAATAATTCACTACTTCCATATGGCATCCAGTGCTCATCACAACGAGTGCACTCTTTAATCCACCCCCCTGCCCCGCCCCCAATTACCATTAGTGTGTTCTCTTTAGTTAAGAGTCTGTTTCTTGGCCTATCTCTCTCCCTCTCTTTTTTCCCCTTGCTCATTTGTTTTGTTTCTTAAATTTCATGTGAGTAAAATAATATGGTATTTGTCTTTCTCTGGCTGATTTATTTCACCTAGCATTATAATCTCTAGCTCCATCCATGTCATTGCAATTGGCAAGATTTCATTAATTTTTGTGGCTGAATAATATTCCATTGTATGTATTTGTTCTTTATCTGTTTGCCAGTCAATGGACACTTGGGCTGTTTCCATACTTTGGCTATTATAAATAATGCTACTATAAACATAGGGGTGCATGTATCCCTTTGAATTAGTGATTGTGTATCTTTTGGGTAAATACTCAGTAGTATGATTACTGGATTATAGGGTAGTTCTATTTTTAACTTTTTGAGGAACTGCCATACTATTTTCCACAGTGGCTACACCAGTTTTCATTCCCACCAACCGTGCAAGAGGGCTCCCCTTTCTCCACATCCTCATCAACACCTGTTACTTCCTGTGTTTTTGATTTTAGCCATTCTGACAGGTGCAAGGTGGCATCTCACTGTAGTTTTGATTTGCATTTCCCTGATGATGAGGGATGTTGAGCATCTTTTCATGTATGTTGGCCAGTCATGAATGTCTGGATGTCATCTTTGGGAAAATGTCTATCCATATCTTCTGCTCATTTTTTAATTGGATCCTTTGTTTTTTGGGTGTTGATTTATATAAGTTCTTTATATATTTTGGATGCTAACCCTTTATCAGGTATGTCATTTGCAAATATCTTCTCCCATTCTGTGGGTTGCCTTTTAGTTTTATTGATTGTTTCCTTCACTGTGCAGAAGGTTTTCTTTTTGATGTAATCCCAATAGTTTAGTTTTGCTTTTATTTCCCTTGCCTCAAGAGACATAGCTAGAAAAAAGTTGCTACGCTTGATGTCAGAAATCTTATTGCCTGTGCTCTTTTCTAGGATTTTTATGGGTTCTGGTTTCATATTTAGGTCTCTAATCCATTTTAAATTTATTTTTTGTGATATGGTGTGAGAGAGTGTCCAGTTTCATTCTTTTGCATGTAGCTGACCAGTTTTCCCAACACCATTTATTGAAGAGACTGTCTTTTTCCCATTGGCTACTCTTTCCTGCTTTGTTAAAGATTAATTGGCCATATAATTGTGGGTTTATTTCTGGGTTTTCTATTCTGTTCTATTGATCTTTATGTCTATTTTTGTGCCCGTACCATACTGTTTTGATTACTACAGCTTTGCCTCATTTCTTGCAGAAGAGCTCCCTCTATAGTCTGTCTGACAAATAAGACTGCCAGCTTCTTCCAGGTTCATAGTCACAGGCTAGGGCCTCCAGGGATGGGAGTAACCTTCTCTGGTTCCCAATGGCAAGGCTGCAGGCATGGGAGGACTGTGAAAGGCTGAGGTTCCTCGTTTAAAGACCAGAGCTGAATAAATATGTGGCTCTTATTCCAGGCTGGATTTCCAGGGCAGCGTAGGGGGCAGGGCGGTAGAAGGCCTGCCACCCCTTCCCCCTCCTTGCTCCATGGATGTCCTGCTTTGGCTCTGTCTCCTGTGTGGCTACAGTCTCCCATCTAACGGCAGGTCTGCTCCTGGCTCCTCTGCCAGAAGGAGCTCCTACCTCCTCGGCTCTGCAGGCAGGACTGACAGTGCAGTTCTAACCACCTTACCTCCTGCCAGACGCCTCACACGCTCTCATTTGTGTGTCTGCTCCTTTGCTCATGCCGCTGCCTTTGCACAAAACGCTCACCTAGCTCTCTTCTGTCTGATCACCCCTCATCTATCAGGCATCCAGCCCGGACCCCCTGTTCCTGGCCAGCCTTTCCCAGACATAGGATCTGCCGCTCACCCAGCCACCCCCTGGAAGTGGCATCGACCCTCCTGCTAATCCAGGGTGTTGTCTGGAGTCTCTCCCAGTGGACCTGACCCCTCCAGGCAGGGACTACTCAACTTCCTCCTCAGGAAGCCCTGATTAAATGCACGTCAAAGGAAGAAGGGCGTGGACAGAAGCAGTTGCTGAAGCCTCCTATGTGGTCCTGGGTGACAGCAATGAGAGGGAGGCGATAGTTCCTTTTACATTCTGGGTTCCTGGGTGCCTTTCTGGTTCTTACTGTCTTATGAGAAGTCTGCACACATAGCGACACAGGGCTAGGGGAGTTTTCTGAGGCCCCCAGAATAGAAGTTGTCACCCGGCAGGCTCTCGTCTTGGGCAGTCAGGGCAGGGTGTCTGGTTTGGGGCTGCAGAGCTGAAGATGCAGACCGGCTGGGGAGGGACGGGCTGGATTCAGGCTGCAGCCTGTGCCTTCTGCAGGGGATATTCAGGTGAAGCGAGAAAGGAGAACAGGAGGGTGGAGAAATCAAACCCAGATGCCCACCCCCGCGGAAGGGCCTGTTTTCCCAGGCGCAGCTGCCTGCTGGGAGGCTCTGGCAGGCTCCGCACATGGAGCCGCTCCAGCCTGGGTCTTGGAAGTGCCTGGGAAAAGGATGTCACACAGTTCTCAAGCCACAGTCAGGTGCTAAATATTCTACCCTCCTCCTCTCCCCATTGTAGAGCCATGCATGTCTATTGTGGAAAATTGTGAGATATGGAAAAGTCAAAAGAAGGAGAAATAGGCACCCGTAAGTCCATCATCTAGAAATAACCACTGTTAGCATTTGGTGACTTTCCTTTCTGGCTTTTCCTCTAGGAAATTTTTTTTTTTTCTATTGGTGATCTCATGCTATGAATACAGGTATTTGTCTATTATTATTAGTTTTATATACAAGCATTTCTTTTCATGGCCATAAAAACCCTCTAAATATACTTTTTAAGGGCTCCATAGTATTCTGTTGCTGGATGACTCACAATTCGCTGAATGATTTCAGGCCAGGATTTTAAGAGTATGTTTTCAGCACTGTGGAGAAAGGGCAGCGGCCACACCCGGTGGCAGAGTCAGGCTTGGGGCACTGCAGAGGTTGTGTAGAGGCCGGGACCTGGGTCCAGGCGGCCTCTGGTCACAGCCTAGTTGTGACGGAGAACGACAACTCCAAGAGCTGACACAGAGGAAAAGGCGCAATCCCGTGTCACAGGAAGAGGTCGATTTTGCATTCTGTTTTTCACTTACTCGTTGCAGGACTTTAGATAAGTTATCCAATCCTGCCGGGCTTCAGTTTTCTCATCTGAAAAATGAGGTGGTAAATGACTCATTCAAATGACTGTATAGAATATAAAGAAAACATACAATAGGCAACATGGGGAACCCATAATATTTAAATATATAAAAATTAAATGAGACTGTAATAGGTCATGTACGACACATTTCCATTCTATACAACATGGGATATGGAAATACTAGACTCTAGGAAACAGGCACGGCTTAATTAAGGGCAAGAATGTGTGAAATCCTCAACAGTGTCTGGCATAGGAAACAAGTGCTAATATTTGTTGGAAGGAGATGCAGGGATGTGTTCAGTTCTAGTCATCAGTTTAATGAACTAGATTTAACAGCAGAGGCAGGGCAGTCAGTGAGCCTAGCAACGACTGACCTCTTCTGGATGCTTCTGTGCAGAGTGAAACCAAGCTCTCAGAGGCCCCGTTGAGCAGGGGAGGATCTGAGGGTCCTTCCCAGCTTCCTCAAGCCCTTGACCTCCTGCTTGATTTCCTAACTGACTGCTCAAAAAGATGGAAACCCAGGTTTGGGTGTTATTGTTGGCTCTCTGAATTAATTGCCAGAAAAGCTTTGTAGGAAGTGTTAGCCTGAGCCTCAGTGACCGAGGTGTGGAGTTGCCCTGGAACATACTGGAGGGACTATCTGGAAAACGAACAATATCTTCTGAGGTTCTCAGCATAATGTTGGGCATTCAGGGATGCAGTGACATTCCACTGGAGAGGTGGGTATATGGGGAGAGCTGGGCTTTGTTCAGACCTTCCGGTAGCCCAATCTCTGGTCCCCGTGGTTGACAATGTTTAGAGGTGTGCCCTGAATTAGAGCTTTGTCACCTATGGACGGTATGTCCTTTGGTAGTGCAACCAATCCTTTGTGTAAAATGGATGAGATAACACGTGGGTGCAAGGCAGGGGTGAGAACTGGATAAAATAGCATGTGTAGCACGTCTGGCACAGCCCGCTCTCCTCCCACCTCCTCCTCTCTCTCCCAGGAGACACTCCTGCCTCATCATCGCCATGCTTACACACTGACACACATGTGGACACGTGTGCCACAGCACATACGCATTCAAGGGACACACATGGTCCCATGTCCACATGCATGCATGCGCTCAGACACACACATACTTATGCACACACACACACGCAGCCATACACACACGCTCACACAATGCCACATTCACACAATGCACATCTGAACACACACATGCAAGCTGTAGTCTGCCCGCATCGATCTGTTCACTTCCTCATGCATGTGGTGGTGCATTTTCACATCTGTGTGCCTTTGAAGGGATGCTTCTCTCACCGAGAAAATATCTTTGGCTCTTCACCCTGTACACTCCTCCTCATCTTGTATGATCCATGTCAAATGTCACAGCTTCTGTGAAACATTTCCTGGCTTTCCCAGACAGAACCATTAGCTCCTTCTTCATTTCCTTGGGAACTATGAGCAGCCGAGGGAGCATGTCCTACTCTTTGGATCCTCCACATCTGACATGGACTTGGCTGTCCCGAAATGATTGCTGAATAATGAAAAGGTGGGTTTGAACCTTAATCTGTCCAGTTCCTCAGTCTGGGATCCCCTTAAAGAGGTCTGGGGGCCAACTGCCAGGAAGAAGTGCAGTTCAGAAGCAGTTGGAAGGACAGGTAGCTTGCAGGCTGCAGACTCAAAGGCTGCTACGGGTGGCAGGAGAGCAGGAGAGACGGAAGAAAGACACTCTGTGCCCAGAATACCATCAGCCTAGCCTTGCCTGGGGCCAAGAGCACCGTGTGGGGTAGGGGAGATGGGTGAGGGAGGAAGAGGGGGCAGGAGGGAGAGGGGCAGGGGAGAGTGGGAGGGGGAGAAAGAGAAAGGGAGAAAGGGAGAACCGGTTGGAAGTGTGTTAGGTGTACCTCCATAAATAAAGGGATGACAGAGGAAGACCGTCCCCTGTAGGTGGAGGAAACTGGCAGGTGACCCTGTCAGGCAGGGAAGGGTAGAGTGAAAAACTGGAAAGTCACATTAGAGGTTCTTAAATTTTTTGGTCTCGGGCTCTCTTCATGCTCATAAAAATTAATGGCAATCGCAAAAAATTTTAGTTTCTGTGGGTTATATCAACAACATTTACGATATTATAAATCAGGAATGAGAAATTATATATACACTTATTCGTGAACTTATTAAAAATAAAACAAGCTGTGAACATAATGACATTTAAAATACCTATATTTCCTAATGCAAAAACTTAGAACAAAAAAATGAGAAGAGTGGCATTGTTTTCTATCTTTGCAACTTTCTCTAATGTCAAGCTGGAGAGAAGACCGCTGGGTTTCTCATCTCTACTTTTGCATTCAGTCGAGGAGATCAATAGAATCAAGCTCACATCTTCATTTTCATCATTCATTTGACAATCATTTCAGAAGCTTTACTCAATGTGTGGCTACATCACACATCTGGTTGCCTTTAGGAAGTTCCTCTGTATGCTCAGGCAGGAATGAGAGTAAAGAAACTGACTATACCTTAGTATGAATAAGGAAACAGTTTGGACTTCGCAGACTGGGTCTGTGGGACCTCCCAGTACCATGTTTGAGAAGTATTGGATGAAATCGTACAAAAGTCCTGGTGTTCACTTGTTTCCTTTTTCTTTAAAATTTTTTTAAAGTTTATTTATTTGCTTTTGAGAGAGAGAGCATCAGCAGGGGAAGGGATGAGAGAGAGAGAGAGAGAGAGAGAGAGAGAGAGAGAGAGAGAGAGGATCCCAAGCATGCTCTGCACTGTGTGCATGGAGCCCAATGCAGGGCTCGAACTCACTAACTGCAAGATCATGACCTGAGCCGAAACCAAGAGTCGGACGCTTAACTGACTGAGCCACCCAAGTGCCCCAACTGTTTACTTTTTCAAGTGGAGCTTTACCATATGTCTTAGTGTGATAGAGGGACAGGAAGAGCCGCCAACACCTCCTGAGCTTGGCTGCTCCCTGCCTGTGGGCCTCGTGGAACTTTGGGCATGGCAAGCATCTGGCCGCATGGCGATGGGAGGTGGAGAGCAGCAGGGGGAAAGGTCAGGGCCCTGAGTGGGCAGCAGGAGATGAGCTTGAACCCTGAGGTCCAGGCGGGGCTGTGCATCCTTGGGTGAGCCCCTGCCCCTACAATAGATCTCGCTTCCCTGGTCTGGAGCATGAGGTTGGGTAGATTGCCAAGGTCCTTCTGGTGTCATGGATGCTGAGTCTCTGATCCTGAGTCTTACATGATTCCCTGGCCTACCGCTGTGGAGAGGAGCTTCCCCGTGCAGGAGACTGACCCTCAGCAGTGAGGGCCGGTGGGCAGCTTCCTGACCCCACCGTTCAGAGGCTTCATATAATAACTTGCATGGTTCTCTCTTTCATTACAAAGGTAGTACAAATTCATTAAAATAGAAAGATAAGAAAAGCACAAAAAGCACATGCAGTCCTTTCCCTGGAGATCAACCACTGCTAACATTATGCTGAGTATCTATTCAGTTGTTTGTCTATGCATATAGTTCATGCTTTATCTTTGCTGCATTATTTCTTCTTAAATACAACTTTATCATGTGATTTCCAGCAATCTAATACAGATTGAACTCTTTATTCTGGCATTCAGAGCTCTCTCTTTTTCAGATTTGTCTTCTGCTCTTTTTCCGTCTGTGTCCTCCCGCTTTTGCCTCTCCTCGAATACACCATGAGCATGTCCCCTCCACACTTAGTACTCCATCTCTAAATTGAATCTATTCTGCAAGACTCAGACTTGCTCATTCCTCACCTTGCTTCCTTGATGACTCTAAAGTATTCTTCAAGAATCTGACCCAGTGTCACTTATGAAGTCTTACCTTAGCCTCAGGCTGTTTGTCCCTCCCTTCTCTGAGCTCCCACAGCTATCGTACAGGCCTTAATTGGCACTTTTCTCACTGGGTTGTAATTGTTTGCATGCCTCTTATTACCACCTGGTTCTGGAGTATTGCACACTGATTATTTGTTGACTGGGTGGAAACCCCTGTGTATGGCAGGTCTGAGGCTGTTACAGACTCTATCACCCAGTGTATGTATGTTGTGGGTTACTTGGGTGTCCTGCTGGACCGTGAACCTGCTGCAGGCAGGGTGCTCACAGGACTGTCCCACTCCCACCTGCGGGGCTGAGAAGGGCTCCTCTTGGTGAGCCTGGGGCGGCTTTGGCGGCAGGCAGAATTTGTGACCACAAGATGGCAGTGTTGTCTCAGTTACTGGGGAATGGCCAGGGCCTTGACTCCCACCCTGGCCTGGTAATGGCAATGCTGGGGGAACTAAGAGTTCCCTTCCCAAGCTTTGGCCTGATCTGGAGTAAGGTGAACTATCGTCTGAAGGTGGAAGTCTGTCAAGGGGAAGGCACTATACAGGGGCAAGCTAGTGAGTGGTCTCGGGCTGCGTTTGATGTGGGAGATGGTTAGTGAAGTTGGAACAGAGGTAGAAGGCCACCTATTATCCTGCCCTGTGTACAGTTGAGAGTGCTATAGGGTCAAAAAGGGTCATTCAGTGACTTGGCAGAGCTAGATTTAAACAAAATGTGAGTGCATGTGTATACTCTTTCCCCGTCTTCAAATCTGGAAGGCAGCAGAGAAGGAGCTCCCGGAATTCACTGAATCTACAGAGACAACTTGTATTTTGCGGGGAGCTCAAGGGGCCGATGGGCTCAGTCCTGAGCTTGAGTGACACACAGAGTCAGTGTGTCCCAGGGGGCTGCCCTGAGCAGTCTCCCTACCACTGGCTGGTGGATGAAGGAGCTTCTGAGTTTTACCTTTAGCCTAGAATATGGAAAGGGTACTGGGCAGCAAATCAAGAGGGCTGGCTCTGTCCTGTCTCTGTTCCCTGATGCTTAAAAACTTTGTGAGGGGCACTTAGGTGGCTCAGTCAGTTAAGCAACTGACTTTGGCTCAGGTCATGATCTCACAGTTCATGGGTTTGAGTCCCACATTGGGTGAGCTCAAGCCCCCCTTTGGGTGAGCACAGCCCTGCTTCTGGTCAAAACATGAGCCCTGCATTGGGCATACCCCTTTTCTCATTCTCTCTTCTCTCTCTCTCTCTCTCTTTCTGACTCGTGGGATTCTCTCTCTCTCTCTCTCCCAGCACCCCAAGCACTTCTTCCCTTTCTCTCTCAAAAGCAAAAACAAAGACAAAAACAACTTCGGTGAGACACCTGCTTCTTCAAGCCTCTAAGCCTCGGACTTGCTTCCCCCACCCCCACCCCCAACCCAGCTCCCAGCTCCCTAGAGGAGCTGCCTGCCTTTCAGGCACTTCAGGCTGCTAACATTGCCAGTGATTAGACAGCCACCTTCCCACTGTCTCTTCTCACACTGCCTAGATACAAATATTTTAGTGGCCAAAAGCAACATGTTTTCTAATTGATGTTCTGCTATTCAGTAAATAGTAGGTAAAGTTAGGATTATTCCAAAGCTATTTCAAAAGGTATTCTTATTTTGGATGGAAAAAAGTAATTTCCAGTAAATCTGTTAATTTATCTTGACTTCATTCTCTTGCTAACATTTGACGACCTGGATGTTCTCCCTAGGCCCTTCCAATTCCATTCTGGATCTTAATGAGAAGCTTTCTAGAAAGCCCAGCACCTCCAGGTCTTACAAATCCTGTGATTTTGTGCAGCCACTGTTGAAAATATCTTCATAATAAAATCCAAGTTGATTGTGTTATTTAATATCTTTTAAAGGCATCGCAGATTACTTATTGATTTTTAAAATTAAAATTAAGAGGAAAAAGAAACCCACACAATTGTTTGTAATTCACCAGATGTTAGGATCTGGGATCCGCTGAAGCAAGAGTCTCATTTTAAAATGTTGAAAACATATTTCAATGCAAAATCAATAAAATACATGACAGTAATGAAAAGATGAATAATGATCAGAAACAGGCCTTTAACCCCTGAGTCAATGTTATACAAAAGCATTGAAAGCATCCAAAATTTTACTTGCCCATAAGGTTAGGGCTGGGATTGGGAATGGGTAGGACAGGGATGGCCAAAGGAAGATGGAATACCTTCCGTGCTAGGCACTGTCTTGGGCACTCGGGGCACCCAACTCTTTATGATGTTGGACGTGGTACTATCTGGTCTTATCTCTATTGCTGCTGGAGTAACTCATATTATTATCATTCCCATTTTTCAAATGCTCTCCTAGTAATCCATTTGATTCTTACAGTAGCCTATGAAGACATAGCTATACTATTATCAGTATTTCCACTCCACAGAGGGGGAAACTGCAGCTCGGAGAAGTTAAGTAACTTGTTTAAGTTTGCACAGCTATTAAGCAATGGGCCAGGACTTGAACCTGGGGAGTCCAGTTCTATATATGTTACACACCACTCTCCTATGCTGAATAGCATGAGTTGATCACCTCTGTGGAAGAAAAGTCCCCATCCGACCCACCATTTGGAGTACAACCAAGTACATATTTGGGTTCTGAGGAGTGGAGATTTCCCAGAAGCATTTCTGTTTTCTACCAGGTCCCTAATGGTTGAGGAGGAGCTGTGTTACTCTGTTCACGTGAGGTAAATAGATTCTGGCCTGAAGAAGTGACAGGGCAAAGATTGAAATGAACTTGGTGGGTCCTCTGAATGCAAGATGACACGTGTGGCAGGAGTGCAGAGGTGAGGGACTGAACTGAAGGAGCAGTAGGAAGGGAGGGTATATGTGGTCCTATGGTTGGGATTCTTTTCAGAGCGTGATGCTGTTTAATCTGGGAAAGGACATGACCTGATTTCTGTTTTCCAGCTTATCATTTTGACTGCTGTGTGGAGTGTGGATTATGGAATACAGCAAGAGAAGACCTAATGGGGTTGATGTGGGTGGTCTTGGGGAAGACTATTGTGTTATTTCCTGTGGGAGATAAGGAGCCTACACCACAGTGTTAGCATGACCAGATTCTTAGTTTTGAAACTTCACTTTGGTACCTGAGGGTGGAGGCCTAGGGAGGAGTGAGGCTGGAGTTAAGGAATTACTTAGGAGTTCAGAGGGTGACTTCACAGTAAGTGTGGGGAGAAAGGAATAGATTAGAATGATATTTGGGGCGTTAAAGGAAATAATTCACAAGCTGCTCCTATGGACACTTTTGTTATCAGAGGGAGCCTCATTTCTATAGGCAAAGCCCAGCCACAGGTGTGACTAACCTCTCTTCCAGACCTGGTTCTCCCTGGTTCTTCCCTCTCTCTGTCCAGTCTGCCTGCCCCTCTGTGTCGAGTGGAAGGTACCCTCGAGGGAATATGAGGGGAGGTTGGGTCAGCACCCCATTAGACGACACCCTTTCTGCTATTCCAGGCCTCTCCTGAGGCCTTGGAGGGCCATGCAGAGGTTAAGGCACAGTTTGGCAAGAACTTATCCCCGTGTAATGATCTTACAGGCACTTCCTATGGTAGCAGTGGCTGAATGTGTTGGGTAACCCATGAGTGATAAGGGAGAAGAGGGGCCCAGACATTTTAAGTCCATTCCTCCTGGAGCCATGCTGTTTTAGGGCCCCACGGTCAATCAACAGTGGGGTGGGCATTCTCTTCCAGGTCTCTGTCTCTCAAGCCCATGCTTCACCACCACTCCGACCAGAAGACAGGGACCAAGCCCTCCATGGGGAGAAGTGGGGGTGGCTGCTTACAATTCCATTTTGCAGTAAACTGTCAACCCTGAAGTCCCAGGGGCTCATTCAGGCAGGTTCCCGCATACCTTCTCCTTGAGTTTTCCTTCTGATGGGAGTTTTCAAACATGAGTCTTAGGTCAGGAAGTGCTATTTCCCCATTCCAGAGCAAGATGAGCATGCTGTGGTGAGCTCAGCAGCTCTCTGCAGGCATGAAAATGCCAGGACTTGAGAAGCACAGGAGAGCCTGGAACAGTTCTAAGTAACAAGGAAAATTAATTGTTAATTTCCAAGTTCGAGTCTCTCTGGGTAATCACTCACAGTGTTACAACCTCCAAGATCAAAGGGTGACTCTTTGGATCTGGGTTGCAAACTAGTTACTGCACTTTGCAAGCTAACTGACTACTTCCCAGTCCTGTCGTGAGATGGGGCAGGTGTGCCAGGACACCTGGCCGCAGAAGAATGACACACAAGGCCAGTAAGGCAAGAGGCGCAGCTTTAAAACTGATTGGTGGGGAGAAGGAGGGCTTGAGAGTGACACGGGACACCATCACTGAGCACAGAAAAATCCCAAGAAGCAAGGCGGTTTTCAGGAACATTGAGCGTGGAAGCTGTTGTCTTATATCAGAGGTGGAGCGTCAACAGCCCTGGTCCTCTGACCCGATGTAGCAGCCAAGAGGAGAAGGTGTTCTGTCTCTGGTATTTGCAGAGTGATTTGGAAGGAAGTGTTGTTCCTGAAGTTCCAGTAATTGCAGGCATCTGTCACTAACAAATGGAAAATGGAAATAGCTCAAGAAATAGACTTCCACTTGCTGCACATAGTGCTTGCAAGGCTAAACTTGAAGCAATTTTAAACAGTTTGAAGAATCTCCTCAATGAGTATATCGACCCTGATAGAGGGGAGAGGCCGATTCAGTATAGATCAGTGTGTGTGTGTGTGTGTGTGTGTGTGTGTGTGTGAGAGAGAGAGAGAGAGATTGAGAGAGAGAGAGAGAGAGAGAGAGAGAGAGAGAGAGAGAGAAAGGGGATGGGGAATATTCTTGTGGTCCAGGCCATGCCAAGTATGTTAAAACTTATGTAGCGTGATGCTCATTTGACCATCAAGGAATCTGATGCCTGGAGAAGTTAGTGGATCTGTCCTGTCACAGTGGTTTGAATCCATGTCTGTACAGTCTAAGCCTCCCTGCCCATTCATGGGTGGGGCAGCTCTGAGGTGAGTGTTGGTGGGGCAGGCCGACCAGAAAGTGAGCGCATGAGTGGAACAGGAGCGTTGCTCAGCCTCTCCTGGCCTACTGTGATTTACACCATTAAGCACATCAGCAAGTATCAGCCTTTCTCAAACTGTGTCTGTAATTTATTACCATGTAACTAGTGGTCAATGAAATGTTAACATGTGTCCTATGAAAGGTTTCTGTGTTCAAAGAAATTTGGGTTAAAAAATGGCCCTTTAATGGAAAGACTATTCAAAGCCTAAGGCTCTTATGCACTGTGAACAAGAGAGAGTATGTTCTGTTTGCCAAATTTATTTGATCTCGGGAGCTCTCCTTGTTTTGGATGGTCTCTATTTCTATAGCTGTATTCATTATTAGTCTCCTTCATTTGGTAAATTGTATACGTAGTTCATTTCTGGGAGAGAGGTTAGGTCTTTTAATCTTTTCCTTGAAATGTTCTGTGTTACGAGAACTTCTATATATTTTACAGCTCAGAACTTTGTTGGGGTACGTGGAGAACAAAAAGGAGAGGTCAGGGGCAAGGGTCTAGACCCTGAGGGTCAGCAGATCTGGCTCAATGGGAGGAGTTACACAGCCTGGAGAAAGAGTGGGTTATGCAGAGAAAATGGTGAAGTGGGTGGCTGTCCACACAAGGGCGATGTGAAAAGGCAAGCCAGAGACATGAGACTCTTGCAGTAAAGCAGAGTCAAGGTGGAAGAGGAGAAAAAAGACAAAAGGTGAAAGTGCTGTTCCATGAGCGTGCTTGGCCCTGTGAAGGGTGGAGGGGGGGGTGGTACGGTGCCTGTATGGACTCTCACTGCCAAGCGTCACTTAGGCTGTCACCACTGAGACTGAGGCAGAAATAAGCTGGGCGGGAGAGGCAGTGGAACAGATTTGCATTCAACTCCTGCTCCCTGGTTCCTGGATTGTGGCTTAGAGTAAGTGCCTTCAACTCTGTCTCATCTCTTGACCACTCAGAGCAGGTAGGAGGTTTAATGAGATAACGAGAGCAAGCCTTCCCCGTCATTGTGGACACACCCAAGGCACGATCCTCAGCCTCTTACTCTTACCTTGGTGTGGGGCTCAGAGTCCCTTTATCTGTCTTGGATTTCACCTTCCACCCATCTGACTTCATCTTCCCCTCCACACGTCTTCCTTTCCCTATATTGGGCTCAGGGCGGTTCACCCTCGGGGATTCTGGACAAAGAGTTTCCCAATAACTGGGGCTTTGCTGCTCTGAGAACTGACTGACCCCTAGCCTGGAGATGGAATCTAAAATTGGAAGCTGGATGAGCGGAGCAGCTCCCCACACCTAATGACCCTGTCTCCTGGTGGCCGGTTCAGACTGAGAGATCCCTCTGGGGATCGATGGCTGCCTGTTCACTCTATTTCTGTGTCGCATTAAATCTCTGCCAAACAGATTTAAAAAGAATTCTTAACTCCAATATGACGGGCCTGTTGGCAGTGTGAAATTAAGAGATTTTTTAATGGTGTGTTTTTTTAGTTTGCCACTTGACTCTATTCATTACATATTCTTTTTCGAAATGTGAATCCAAACTTCCATTGTATACTTTTTTTCCTGCCATTATTGTACATGATGATCTCTGTCTATTACATCTGAAAGAAAGAACACTGGAAGGTCTGAAATGGCTGTTGTCAGCTTTCAGAATTCCAGACAGATGACTTCAATCTATCTGAAGGAACAATGGATTATTTAGGAGAGTTGCTAAGATGCTAACCTTGCAGAACATTGTGCTTTTAAAAGTGTTGAATGAGGGGCGCCTGGGTGGTGCAGTCGGTTAAGCGTCCGACTTCAGCCAGGTCACAATCTTGCGGTCCGTGAGTTCGAGCCCCGCGTCGGGCTCTGGGCTGATGGCTCAGAGCCTGGAGCCTGTTTCCGATTCTGTGTCTCCCTCTCTCTCTGCCCCTCCCCCGTTCATGCTCTGTCTCTCTCTGTCCCAAAAATAAATAAAAACGTTGAAAAAGAAAAAAAAAGTGTTGAATGAGTAAATTTAGAAAATTTCTTATTTCCCCTCTGATTTATAAATGTAATAGAAGTTCATTGTAAAAACTAGAAATGCAGAAAACTATCATCAAAATTAAAATTATAGCATATTCTTTCATTTTCTAAGTCTCTCTCTCATAAACTAATTAGTGATCATACTGCATGCATGGGTTGTCTTCATTTATTTAATACTGTATTATGAAGAATTTCTTACCTCATTAAATAATCTTCCATTCATGATTTTAATAGCTACTTTGCTATGTAGACGTGCCACAGATTATTTAGCCTATCTCTTATTGCTACATTCCCCTATTGTTGGGTATTTAGGTTGCTGCTAATTATTTTTTGAATGATAAATATCGCCATGATGAACATCGTTGTACAAATATCTCTGTGTGCATCTCTAATTTCCTTAGAGTTATTTCTGAAAAAGCATACCCTAATGAAAGACCCTGGATCTGTGATTCCAAATGGACTTCTGGAACCACAGAACCAATTTGCATTCTCATCAGAGACTGATGGCCATTCTGCAGCACTTCACTGACCTAGGTACAAAACAACCCAACACAAAGCAAAAGCAAATGAAGCAACATTGCCGATTTACTATGTGAACGATATCATCTCATCATTGCATTATGTTACATTTCTCTGAATTCACAGGAGGTCGACTGTTTTATCTACTGTTTTCAGTAGCCCCTTCATCTGTGGTTTCGCTCTCCTCAGTTTCAGTTACGCTCGGTCAACCGCAGTCTGCAAGTTGATCCTCCTGATGAATCAATCACATCGCCAGAAGGTCAGTAGTATCTTAACACTACGTCACAGACCCATGTCATTCAGCTCACTTCATCTTGTCATGTAGGCATTTTATCATTTCACGTCGTCACAGGAAGGGTGAGTACAGTACGGTAAGATATTTTGAGAGAGAGAGGAGACAGACCACGTTCACGTAACTTTTTTTATAGTATATTGTTAAAACTTTTCTATTTTATTGTTGGTCGTTGTGTTAGTATCTTACTGTGCCTCATTTATAAATTGAACTTTATCATAGATACCTATGTGTAGGGAACCATCTGTGAATTTGGGTATCCATTGGGGGTCTTCGAATATGTCTCTATGGATAAGGGAGGGACTAACTGTATTTTCCATTGCTTTTCTTATTTTATGAATTGACTTAGGTTCTTTCCGCATTTGTCTATTGGAGCATTTGCTGACCTATGGGAGCTCTCTCTCACTCTGTTATATATGAAACGTACTAACTCTTGATCTAGTGTGTAGTGTAAGTTACCCATATCTTTCCTATTTTGTTAGAGGTCTTTTAATTTTGTTCATGGTATTTTTAGATGTACAGATGTTTAAAACTCCTATGTGGTAAAATCAATCAGACTTTCCATTCATTGTTTCTTCATTTGCTCTTATGATTACAAAGACCTTCCTTATTCTAACATCAGATAACTATTCACTTCTATTTTCTTCAATGATTTAATTTTGTAGATTTAGCTGATTAATTGTTTGGAATTTATTTTAGTGTGTGGTATGAGGTAGGAGTCTAATTTATTTATGAGGAACCTAATTTATTACTTTTAAATGTTTAAATAATTTTCTCATTATTTATGAAATAGAACTCTTGTTTTGTGCCGGCTGTCTGGTTCCAAATCCCCCTCTTATATAAACAGTATTTATAAACATTTGGGTCATTTTCTGAGTTTGTCAGTTTTTCCCCTCATTAATAACTTAATTCTTCACTAGTGCCACAGTTTTGTGACTGGAAATACATACCTCTCTTCTTTAAGAAATGTTTCTTTCTTTAATATAGTAAAATATATTTATTTTGGCGAGATACTAAAAAGCTTCGTTGCAATTTTGATTAGCATCCCATTAAAATTAAAAATAATTTTGCCCTTTGGGGCTCCTGGCTGGCTCGGTTAGAAGAACACATGACTCTTGATCTGAGGAATGAGTTCAAGCCCCACCTTGGGTGTAGAGATTGCTAAAAATA